ATATATATATGCACAAACACATATACACACACATAAGGCAAAGGGAAAAACAAAGGATACGACAAACGCAAAAATGCAAGTGTTTGTCAATTTACAAATTTTGAGATTTACTAAATCCTAGAGATATAAGGGCCGAAATTTTGCCTTCTATTCGACTTAAATCCGGTTTTACTAAATCCACGGGGAGGGTGGATTTTATAGATCGATTTATCTTTTTCGATTGTAAGATTTGGATACATGTCACTTACTTCCTATCTATTTACATATCTAACACATATACTTCAATTTTTACATATGTGCTACCTTATCTATGTATAAAAATGTGTCTTTCACTTTATAAAAGTTAAAATTGAGGTATTTCTGATGTGAAATGAAAGATTTGGGTGGTGGTATAAATGTAAACAATGGTTTAGGTGTTAGATATGTAAATACTTATGAATTGGGTGATATGTATTTAAAATTTTCGTATTTTCTAAATCAAACAAATTCTAAATCTTACTTGCACCCAAACACCCTCGAAGGCATGTCTAAATCTCAATCATTAAACCTAAAGAAAAATTAATTAATTTGACAAAGAAAAAAACAAAGGAATCAACAAATGACATGAGACAAAAAAAGGAAATTACCTCGAAGCCTTCGGAAGAGGATAGGCTGCGAGGTTGCCGGATGGTTGTCAGAGAGGAGCGGCCACTGGGAGGTAGGTTTTTGACAATAGAATAGTTGAGAGCGCAAATGAGCCCGATGGGTGTGGGTTTAGATCAGAAGGGTTAAGCGTCGGATTTACGTTTGCTACATACATCGTTATGTAATTTGCTTCGACCACACCATTGCCGCTATTAAATGACAAAGATTAGGAGGAATAATCTCACTGCTTCTCGATGCTAAATGTTTGTGTTGTCATATTTCTACACAAAAATCATTCTTAATAATGGTTGTCATAAATCAAGCGCAAATATTTGGCTTCGAACTTGCTCGACGCAAATTTGGATGCTATTTAACTATTTTGGTAGTGTATATAGGCTTAAAAGTAATAGTAAACAAACGGATTGTCAAAATGTAAGCCGCACAAAAAAAAAAGAAAAAATCTAGAGTCGAAGTTTAATACATACAATCAAGAGGATTCAGTAGAGTAGATTTCATAGAGCCATCCTAAAATAGTTGAAACGATGATGAGGTCTCATACATTTTACAGAGCTAGATTCGGCGGAATGAGTTTTCACAATATCATTTTTCTTCACACTCTTGTAGGTGCTATCATCCACTCTAGTTCACCTAACATGCTGCTGGCATGACATCTTTAGTTTAGTTAGTTACCCATCCTATGTCAAGGAGTGGTCAGGATACAACCCATTTAGGCTTGCACATTTTGCAGAATGGAGAAGTTTTCTATGAAATTTTTAAAGGTTAAATCAACATTGTTAAAGCACAATACAATGTGATGCGTGAAAGGGTATTTTTGCTTTGGGTGCTTGAAGTGCAAGCAAAGCATACTTTTGTTACTTGAAATATTGAAGTACACATATCACAAGGAACAAATATAATTAAATTTATACATGAAAAATTGTAGACAAAATTTGGACAGGCTGTGTACCATGAAAAAGCAAAATTGAGCTGTTAAGAAGTTGACAAACATAAATCCAAACAAAATTGAAAAAATATTAACAATTCAAGGTATAGCGGAACTAATTTAAGGTATAACGAATAAAATGATAAAATAGCAAGTGAAAATTAAGGAAACTTGTGAGAACAAGAGCAACAAATGATCTGAAGCCTTGCCATTTCATTTCTTTTGAAGTTTAGAAGAGAAAATAAAGTTGCTGTGTACCAAGAGAGAATAAAGTGAGAAGCCGACAGCTTGAACTAGGAAAGTGAAAAGTTAAGGGGTACTTTTGTTCATTTTTGCTCATGCCCTAACTTTATAGGTAGAACAAGTGAATCAGCTGGTATGGTTGAATTGGTGAGGGTGTGAACTTGGAGATTATAATTGTTGATTTTTCTAAACCACATGTGTGCTTAGCACATTACGTGATGGTGCATAATATTGTGTTGCTCAACGACCACCATGCTTTGTTGTGCTGGCGCGCTTTGCATTGTAGTGAAACACTGCTTCTTTGCACTGCAACACTTCACTCAAAGCACATTTTAAATTGCACTAGGCTTAATAAGCAACATATATGAGGTTTTAGAATGTTGGCTAAATCTTGCAAATGCGTAGTATAGAATCAATATTAATGAAAGTAAAACAAATCTTTCCTCTTATCATTTCTACTTTGTATCCATTATATGGATTAAGACGTTTTTTTTTTACTGAACGTATACTAGATAAATATTCAAAATTCCATGTTCTTTTGAAAAGAATTCCTTACTTAATAGGTAGAGTGATACTTAGATATGATATGTTTAATTATTGTGGCTATTATATAAAAGAATGAGATATAGATGAAGATATAATTTCTGAAGTTCTAGGTGGTAAAATGGAGAAATATTTAAGTATTTTTCTGCAATGAGAGAAAGTCATTAAGATGCAATGGTAAATTGTTTAACACTTTGATTAGGTTAGGTATATTACATGATTGAGTGTTAGACTTGTAAAATTTGATTGATAGGCAAAGGGAGCCTAGAATAAATGGTATGGTGAAATTAGAAAATATAGTCTGAGGAATGATTTGATTATTTAAACCATTGAGGTAAGGTCTGTTAATTATAAGGAAATGGAAAAAACACTCTAGTACTTTAAACATATGCAATAAATGATAGAAAATGCATTGATAAAATTTGATTGATAAAATTTTATCTTGAACTACCATGAAGAAATATGTGTGATGAATGGTAATGTGGATATTGATCGTGCAAAAAAGATTTGTGCATAATTGGTTTAGCTCATGCACCATTCAACAAAAATGAATGAAGAATGAAGTTCTATAAAGCTAACCCCAATTAGTTGGGATATGGCTAATGATGATGATGCTAGCCTTGAGTTCAATTAATCAAAACCATGATGCTAAGCACTATGCTCGGATTTTGTAGTAGTCTTGTAATGTAATCGATTAAGTATTTTATTTTAATTTTATGAATATATGTATCATTTTCCTTGTTATTCAACTTGTAATAAGGTGCAATGATGAAATTCAATAACCTATATTTTCATTGTAACAATGTTTCGTAAGATCCAACCAATTTTAATTGCAGGATGTCCCAAATTATGCACCTGGATCCCAGAAGAAAGTGAGTGGAGAAGTTATCAGGTGGAATAAGGTTTCTGGCGCCGAGAAAATGGATGCAGTAAAATACATAGAGTATCTTGAAGCAGAAATTGAGGAGCTGAATCAACAAGTTAAGAGGAGATCCACCAACGGACATAATGAACTTTTGGAGTATCTTAAAACCCTTGAGCCTCAGAATTTGAAGGTATTAAACCTGCTATTTTTTTTTAATGTGATGTGAAAACTATTTTCTTTATAAATCATGAATTTTTCTATTGTATTTAAAGATACGTGGCTTCTTTATTTACCTTTGTTTATTTATGGAATTTGAAAATTTGATCTTTGCTTTTAATAAGGATAAAGTAGGCTTCATCCAAGAGTTCGAATCACCTGCAGTTGAGGGATTATCATTGTGCAGCTTAAATATCAAATTTGCCGCATCTCATTTTAGGACTTTAAAATAAAATAACTCGTCCCTCTATTTAGCTTTACGATTTTTACAATTGCATAATTCTGTGATTCTTGTTTTTGTATTTAAAAAATTGCTTACACTTTTAAGTTGAATCGTGGTCGAAATTTTCAATATTATAAGTTTCTAAACATTTTAATTATTTCTCTTTTTTTTTTAACAGTAGCCCATATGCTACCTCTAATAATCTCAATTTAGGTATCATGAAATGCTAATATTTATGTTTCCTCTTTGAATCATGAAACCATTTTTTTCACTTTCTAGAAGCTTGAATTCGTGTGAAATTTTATAGCTAGTATGTTGCAAAAATATGTGCTTAGTTACTCAAATCTGCCATCTAGCCATCTAGCCATCTAATGCTAAACAACTATAGAAATAATGTTTTTTTATTCATTACTCGAACGAGGATTTGGGCATGTTGTATACAAATGATCTTATTTATTAGAATGAAATGAGACGCGGACACAAACACAACAACAAAAGCAACAATAACAAACCTTTATCCCACTAAGTGGGGTTGGCTACATGAATCTTTTTTCTTCATTGCGGCTTATGGAGTGTCATATTTTCATTTAATTCTAATAAATTAAGATTACTTTTTATACAATATGTCTAAGTTTTTCTAGGTTTACCTCTGCAATTCTTAACAGAAGTGGAATCTAAAATATCTACTCTCCTAACTAGATCATTAGATGGTCGACGTTTAATGTGACCTAACCATCTAAGATGATTTGACTCTCTCAAATTTTGTCCGTCATTGGAGCTACACCAACCCTATCACGCCCTATCACGGATATATTCGCATTTTGTCTCTAAGTTTAAAGCTACTCATCCACCTAAGCATTCTTGTCTCGACAACGCTTAACTTAGTTTTATGCTTCTCGTTTAAAGGCCAACATTTAGCGCAATAGAGCATTGCAGGTTTTACTGCCATCTTATAAATATTTCCTTTTAGTCTCAACCTTTTAGTCTAAACAGTACTTTTCTATCACACAATAGGCCCGAAACATTCACTCACTTCAATCAACCAGCTTGAATTCTATTAATAACATCCTCATCTATATCACCATCACTTTGAACAAAAGAACCGAGATATCTAAAGGATTCACCCCTTCAATAATTTTATCATTCGAAGTTATAACTCTGTCACTAGAGCTACTACCACTAAAATTACATTTCATGTATTCAGTTTTAGTTTTACTTTAATGAAAGCCTTTAAACTCCAATGTAGGTCTCTATAATTCAAGTTTTTCCTGAGGTTTTTCTCTAGTTTTATCTACAAGAAGGATATCATCAGTGAAAACATACACCAATGTACATCCTCCTGTAAATGTCCAGTAAGAGCATCCATAACTAAAGCAAAAAGATATGGGCTTAAGAGTCCTATTTATATTTAGTAAAGACCCAAAAATAACTTTATTTCTTAGTCCTTAGAATTTGACCTAAAATTTTTGCTAATCTAGATCTCATCAAACTTCAATTCCAAAAATAAAAAGGAGTTTTAGAATTTAATATCAACAAAAGTACAGTTTTGGCTATTATGCCATAGCCACAAACAATAATTTTAACAATTTACTATAGGGTAAAAATTTAAACTTGGGATATCCAGTTTTCTCTTACATTGACAAGATACAAGAACAACATTAAGAAATCCATTAGAGCAACTTTTGGTTCAGTATAACTGCAATCCATAGCTTTCATTCATATTTTTCTCCATCTCATGATTCGACCATCAAAGACAAGTGTTTCTAGAAACTATCAATACTTATCCGTTAGAAACCTTGAATTATCCAATTAATTCTCTATCCGTATAATTAACAACCAATTGAAGCACCATTTATAACAATAAACAGTACACCTATCACAATCAGTGAAAAATACTAAATTGGGAACTAATCTTGTTTCTGCTACAAAACAAGAGAGAATCACATTTTCAAACTACGGAATTGAAAGAAAGTTAAATTAGGGAATTCGATGAGAGCTGAATGAATAACACTTTGTGTTTTAAGCTAATAAACTAAATTAAGAGAGAAAAAAATAGACAACGAATACCATTTTTATAGATCATTATTGGCATTCCTGCACCAAAACTATAATCAAAACTATGAAAGTGACTAAACAAAAAATTCCCAATAAGATTGTGCTCATTAATGATGAAGAGCATGGAATTTTAGATTTGTGTTATTTTCTCCAATTTATTGATTTTTTTTTTATCAATGTAATTAAGTATTTGATTTTTATCATGCTAATCTGAACATAAAATCATAAGTAGTTTTATCATGCAAAAATCAGTAGCAATTTTATCACAAGCATCCTCTGTTAGTAGTGTAATTTACATGTAAGATAGTGAAAACAGTGAAAAATTATAAGATGACTTAATTCTTATTGATGCAAATGGGGTATAAATACTCATTACAGAACTTACATGTAAAGAAAACAATAAAAACAGAATTCAGTAGACAAGGAAAGACATAATATCAAATATAAGAGACAACTAATCTCTCTAAATAAGGAGAAAAAAATAAATAGAGATTTATAAGATCCCTTATTTAATTTATCACTCTCTAAATATAGAATTATAACAAATATGAAATATAATCATTATTATTAATGAGATCTTTTAATACTCCCCCTCAAGCTGGCATAAATGTCACTCATGGCAAACTTGCTAACTATATTCTCGTGTTGCACTTTGGAAATGCCTTTTGTTAGAATATCTGCTGTTTGGCTAACAGTGGGTATGTAAGACATACATATCACACCACTATCTATCTTCTTCTTGATAAAATGTATGTCAACTTCTACATGTTTTGTTCTGTCATGTAGAACAAGATTATGAGCTATAGAGATTGCATCATTGTTATCGCAGTAAACTTTAATAGGTGCTGGTATAGGATTCTTCAACTCTTCCAGGAGTCTTTTTATCCATAATACTTCACAGAGTTCATGTGCCACCAAATGAAATTCTGCTTCAGCACTACTTCCAAGTAACTAGATTCCCGCCTACAAAGGTACAATAATCTGATGTGGATCTCCTATCATTTACATCTCCTGCCCAATCTGCATTTGTGTAGGCCTCTATTAGAAATGTTATCCCTTTTTGAACAAAAGTCATTTTCCAGGGGTTTTTTTGAGATATCTTAAAATTCGAAATACAGCTTCGAAATGAGTAGGTCCAGGTGAATGCATGAATTGACTCACAACACTCACTGCAAAGGCTATGTTGGGTCGAGTGTGAGTCAAACAGATTAGTCGCCTTACCAATCTTTGATAGCGTGTTTTGTCCATTACCTCATTAACTGTTATTGTTTTCAACTTTATATTAGGTTTAATTGGCGTATTTGCTGTCTTGCAACTTTTCATTCTTGTTTCTTTGAGTAAATCAAGTACATGCTTGCGTTGATTGACAAAAATTTCCTCCTTAGTTCTTGTAAACTCCATCCCGAGGAAATATTTCATCTTTCCCAAGTCCTTAATATCAAATTTGGCTTCAAGTTTCGTCTTCAAGTTGCTAATTTCCAGAGTATCATCCCCTGTCATGATTATGTCATCTACATACACAATCACAATGGTTACTTTACCTTTGATTGAATGTTTGAAAAAAAAGAGTGTGATCAGCTTGGCTTTGAGAGAATTCATATTTCTTGATAACATCACCAAAACGCTCAAACCAAGCTCTAGGAGACTGCTTTAACCCGTACAGAGACTTTTTTAATTTGCATACTTTATTTTTTTCAATTTTTTCTTCAAATCCGGGTGGTAGGTCCATATATATTTCTTCCCGCAATTCTCCATTTAAAAACACATTTTTTACATCAAATTGATGAAGTGGTTAGTCAAAGTTAACTGCAAGGGCAATCGATACCATGAGTTTGAGTAAATCCTGTTGCTTCTAATCTTGCTTTGTATCTCTCCACACTTCCATCAGCTTTAAACTTCACCGTGAACACCCATTTGCACCTAACCGTCTTTTTGTCTTTATGTAGATCAATGATTGTCTAATTTTTTTTTCTTTTAAGAGCATTTATTTTTTTCATCACAACAAATTTCCAACTCGTTTCACTTAATGCTTCTGAACAGTGATTGGAACAAACATATTAGAAATCCTAGACACAAATGCTCTATGATTTTTTGATAGTTTTTCATATGACAAGTATTGTGTGATAGGATGTTTCATGCTTGTTTGAATTCCTTTTCTGAAAGCAGTTAGAAGATCAAGATCAGCAGGAGTGGAAGTAGAGGAGGGAAGATTATTCTGAGTTGTAGGGCCATTATCGAAGCAAAGGTAATTGAACATCTGCTGAGGGAATAACTGAGGCTGTAGTAACTTTATGAAATTTCTTCCTAGCAAAAACCTTCAGCTCATGCTGAGGATTATGATCCATTGGAAGTACTTCTCCCCCCGTCTCTCATAAAGTAACATCTGACAAAATAGGAGTAGTAGTGCTGACCCTAGTTTCCATATCAGAATTAGTTAAGAAATGAGTAAAGTTTCCCAAAAATTATTTTTTTCAACTAAATTATCCCCCTGAAGAAAATTATTTTGAAAAAATGGATGATCCTCGACAAACTTGACATCCATGCTCTCAAAATTTTTTTTCAAGGTTAAAGCATTTGTACCCACGTTTATTGGAAGCATACGTAATAAAAACAAAATTTTCAGCTTTTGGATCATGTTTTGAGCGAAACACACTTGGGATATGGACATAGCAAACACATCCAAAAGCTTTTAAAAGGAGATCAACTGTTATCTTAGATGTGAAAAAATAATTTTTTAAGACTTGTAAATGTGTTTTAAATTTCAAAACTCGAGATGACATTCTGTTTATTAAATAATAGAAGATAAGGAGTGCATTACCCCAAAGATATTTAGGAACATTCATGGAAAACATACATGCCCTCGTAACTTCGAGTAAATGTCTATTTTTTCTTTCAACAATATCATTTTGTTGTGGTGTGTCACGACAAGTGGATTGATGTAGAATACATTTTTCCAAAATAAATGTTCTCAAATATTTGTTGAAATATCCAGTCCCATTATCCGTTCTTAGAATGCCAATTTTTGTTTGTAATTGATTTTCAATAATGTGGAAAAATTCTTTAAATCGTTGTTCAACTACAAATTTCTTTTCCAATAAATATACCTAGCAAACTCGTGTGTGGTTATCAATAAATGTTACAAACTATTTTTTTCCAGAAAGTGTGTTAACTTTGGATAGGCCCCAAACATCACTATGCACCAAATAAAATGGTTTTGAAACAGAATATGATTTTATTGGAAGCAAAACACGATAACTTTTAGATAAATTACATGCTTCACAATGAAATTTTGAACAATCAATACTTTTAAATAGTTCAGGAAATAAAGATTTGAGATATGGAAAGCTAGAATGCTCTAATATTTTATGTCATAACATAACTTGATCATAGTTTAAGCTTGAACTCATATTACCTAATCCACGAGCTGTTTTATTCGCAGAATCAGTTCCATCGTAGTGATACAACCCATTTATTTCTCTAGCAGTTCCAATCATCTTCCCCGAGTTCTGGTCTTGAAATACACAATTGGAAGGAGAGAAAAAAATTGAATAATCAAAATCTTTAGATAATTTGCTTACAGAAAGAAGATTACTTGTAACTTTTGGAACATATAAGACAGATTTCAAAGATATTTTTTATAAAATTTTAATAATTCATTTTCCTGCAATAGATGAAAAACTGCAATCAGCAATTCTGATTTTTTCGGAATCGGAACATGGATAATATGAATCAAATAATTGAGAACAGCTTGTCATATAATCAAAGACTCCCGAATCAATGATCCAAGGAATGGTACTTCCTAGAAAAGCCGAAGGATTACTACCTGCTTGTGTTATAGAACCGATAGGCGCATTAGATGATGAGTAAGATTTCAGCAGTTTAAGAAGATGACTTAATTGCTCTTTACTAAATGGAGATGACTGAGCCTCATTTGCGGTAGGTGTGCTATGTTCACCAAATTTTTTTTCTATCCCTTACCATTAGGTGACTTACCATGCAATTTTCAGCATTTTTCACGAATATGGCGTGGCTTTCCACAGTAGTCACAGTGCAGGTTATTTTTTTGTCTTCTGCACGCTGGTTGTGAGAAGATTTTTTTCTTACTTGAGCTTCAGGAATAGCCAGCGCTGATCCTTCCATGAACTCGATTGAACCTGCAGTCTTTTTTCTCAACATCACGTCTCCGACTCTCTTCTCTCCTTACCTTTGCAAAAACTTCACTAATTGTAGGCAGGGGATTTCTTTCAATTATTCGACCACAGACCTCATCATATTCAACTTTTAGGCTTGCAAGAAATTTGAGTATTCGGCCAGTGTCCACTATCTTCTTGTATTGGTTGTCGTCATCGTTTGATTTCCACTCATGATCATTGAATAAGTCCAGGTCTGCCAAATCTGCTTAAGAGAATTGAAATACTTTGTCACAAAATTCTCACCTTGGCAAATTTCCCCAAGTCGCAGGGTCAACTCATAAACTTGGGATTGATTTCCAAGATCAGAGTACATTTCTGAAACATTGTCCCATAATTCCTTGGCGGTAGAGTAACAAAGATAATTTGCACTTATCTCTTCAGTCATTAAATTGACCAACCATGTCATTACGATTGAGTTTTCCGTATCCTAAATGACATGTTATGTCATTCACGTCAGGTTGTTTAATATCACTTGTAATATAACCAATCTTTCCTCTTCCTCAGAGATACATGTGAATAGATTGTGATCATCAAAGAAAATTATCACCATTTAATCTGAATGAGATGATTTTTCGATGCATTTCTTTGAGGTTCGGGCTGAGATGACTGAAAGGGCTGACTTGTCCTATACGTGACTTCAGACATTTTAGAGATAAAGACGGTGAATTTGGTCGACCCCGAGATTCTCCGCCGAAATAAAAGATTACCGTCTTCGGAGAATTACCGCGAGACGGGAAGAAAAGGGAAAGCGGAAGACGACACAGAGGATCGTAAGCTTGCTATTGGAGGGAATAGAGGTGGACGGGACATAGCAGTCGTCGAACCGATCGAGCGACAAAGCAGCGGCGAGCGAACAATTTGAGATCTCTAGGCGGACGAAGTCGTCGAGCAGCGAGCCGAACGGTTCGAGCTATCCAGGCTGACGAAGTCATCGAGCGTCGAGCGGCGAGCAGTGAAGCAGTCATCGAGCAGCGAGCGAGTGGTTCAAACAACTCGAGATCGAGCAGCAAGCAGTTAAGTGTCGAACAGCTCCACGATCGAGATCAAACAACTCCGAGATGCAGCACAAATCAGGCCAACGGCTCAAAAATCGAGCTCTCCAGGGCTCCAGGCGAAGCAGACGACTCGAAAGATTCAAATCCTCAATATTGTCTCTGATACCATGAAAACAGTGGAAAAGTATAAGAAGACGTAATTCTTATTGATGCAAAGGAGGGTATAAATATCCATTACAGGACTTACAAGTAAGGAAAACAATAAAAACAAAATACAGTAGATAAAGAAAAAAAGAAATAATATCAAATATAAGAGGCAGCTAATCTCTCTAAATAAGGAGAAAAAATACATAGAGATTCCTAAGATTCCTTATACAATTTATCACCCTCTAAATATAGAGTTATAACAAATATGGAATATAATCATCATTATTTATGAGATCTTTCAACAGATAACTTTTGAAACTGACAGTAATAGAAATGTTTTCTTAAGTTGTGGCAGAATCTGACTTTTATGCTCTGAATTGTTGATTCTTGTATGCATTGCAAAGAATGTTGTCATTTTTCTTATGCTTTGCTGTGATATTTATTTCATTGGATGAATTATATTCTTTTGACTTATTTTCTATTTGCTATATTTCTTTGCCAGTTATATATTTTTACTCTTAAATTTCATGCTAAGAAATCTTTCTGCTTTCAGTCATTCCATGTCTTCCACATATATTCATTCATAGTTGGAGGTATAACTGTCCATAAATGTCACATTCTCAATTTTTTTGGTGTAGGAACTAACAAGTAGTGCTGGCGAAGACGTAGTTTTTGCCATGAATACCTTCATAACGCGCCTGCTGTCTGTTTCAGATCCTGCGAAAATGAAGGTATGTCTTGAGCACATTATGATTAGCTTCTATTCTTGCTCTTGCATGATCTTGTTATAATTTGGTGTTTGTGTCTGGCTGCATATTATGTTAACATATTGGAACTCATTAATATCTAAGGGCATTTATATACATAACATCAACTTCCCATGTATTTACATATTTAACACCTAAACTTTAATTTTGTACGTGTATACCACCCAAATCTTTCATATCAAATAAAAAAATACCACCATTTCAACTATTAAAACGCAAAATGCATCGTCTTATGTATAGGCAAGGTTGGATGTATGTAAAAAATGAAGTTTAAAGTGTCAGATTTGTAAATACATAGAAATTGAGTGGTATGTATGTAAAACTTCGTAATATTTTGTTAGTTCCATATTTTTCAAGAATTCTGTTCTGACATTAAGAACACAATTTTTGTGAGTTTTTTGCATGTCATGAAGAATTAAAGAACAAATTGCCTACAGAAATATATTTGGATTTCTCACCTTTGGAGTGCTTCAATGATATCAACAAACAGAACGTGATGTTCTTTTTTGCTTTTATAGTAACTTGATATTGCAATCATATGAATTTAATCTGTTGGAAAATGATGAGATTATGGCAGATCATATTTGTCTGATTCTGCAATCAGTAGTTTTATTCTGTTTTGTTTTTGTATAGTGGTAGTTGGGGGTGTAAATGAGCCAGAATTGACCGAATGTTTGTTCGTGTTCGGCTCATTCGATTTTCTTTTGTTCCAAATCAACTTGTGTTCGAAATGGATCATGAATAGTGTGTTCGTATTCTTGTCGATTTGAATTCATTTGTTCATTTCACCCAGTATTTGGTTTGAATTTAGCTCGAATAATTTAAAAAAATTAAATTTTATATTTTTTTCAAAAATTTCATCAAGTAAATATAAACATGCTATAATAATTATTTTTTTAATTAATAATTTCGACCTAAAATGAGCCCAACATGATCGAATAAACTGTATGTGTTCGACCCGTTTATAAATTAATATAAGAAAAAAAGTTTGTGTTATGTTTGCTTGCTTAATGAAAGAATCAAATAAGAGCACTTAGCTGGCTGAACACGAGCTATTTACGAACAACGTTCTTTTTTAACAACCCACTAGTGTTTCCCCAGTGTCAAGTCGTGTTCGGCCAATTTCTAGTCTTGATTAAGGCTTGTTATTCTGACACAAATTAAGACTGTTAAACACATGCCGAGGCATGTCGGAGATGTGTAAATGTCCAACTCATGTCTGACATGGATACAGAGGGTATTTTGTTGCCATTAACAATTGCTTTATTATGATTTTCCCCATCTGTATCAACTATTACACTACCTAACGTTTCTTTATTTTCGTTCTAGTTCCAGTCATAAAGCAACCGGACACCTTGATTCTGATAATCATTGGGGGCATTTACATACATACCTCCCAATTCCAATGTATTGCATATCTAACATATACAATTTATTGCATATCTAACATTAAATCCTTACTTTTTACATTTATAACCCCAAATCTTTCATATCACATAAAAAAATACCACTGTTTATAACTTTTCATGCATAAGTAAGATAGCATATATATGTAAAAATTAAAGTTTAGGTGTTAGATATGTAAATGCATAGGAATTAAGGAATGTGTATGTAAATCATCTTTACTTTTGTTAGGAATTTGGAAAGTCACTCATTTATTATCTTCCACTCCTGCTCCATGCTAACTTAAGCCTTTCATTTGCTGTATATACCGATTCGTAGCATAAGCATGTAGTAGGTATCACTAACAAGCGGGCATTCTTTACCTGGATTGAGAAAAATGCAAATATTTATTTTAATACAGGGGCATTTACATACATAGCACACATCTCTTATTTATTTACATGTCTCACACGTAAACTTCCATATTTACACACATGGCACTCAATTTTTAATATCATATCAAAAATAGTAATATTAACTCTTTTTAAAAGTGAATTCCACCTTTTTCATGCATAGGTTTCAAACACCAAAATGCTATGTAAATACGAAACTTTAGGTGTGAGATATATAAATACATAAACATTGTGTGCTACATATGTAAATATTTGCAAACACCAATGTGCTATGTAAATACGAAACTTTAGGTGTGAGATATATAAATACATAAACATTGTGTGCTACATATGTAAAATTCCATTAAAAGATATATACATATATATACATATATATATGTTTACTCTTTTTAAAGATCCATTTAAATCCTAGAGTCTATAAAAGTGCTAATTTAGTCTTCAGACTGTTTTAATGGGTGCTAAAATATTTATCTTTGGGACTATTTCAACCAATATTAAAAGAGTTTACGGAATAATTTGGCATGTCAGTCATATATATATAAAAGCTTATTATTCACTTGTTGAGCTTGACAAAGATGCATGATTGTTCTCTTTACCAGACAGCGGTCACTGAGACAAGCGCTCCTGAACTAGCAAATTTGCTCTTCTGGTTGATGGTGGTTGGTTACAGCATTCGCAATATTGAGGTGAGATTCGACATGGAAAAGGTGCTCGGCGCTCCTCCCAAGCTGGCCGAACTACCACCCGGCGAAAACATATAGAGCCACAAAGCATCAGAGTTTTCAAAAATACAAAATTAAATCGGTCAGCACACTCTCCATTGCTAACTTGCTCTGCAATTTTTACAGTTTGTAGGGTTTTCATGTAGGCTTTGATAACTGCATGATAATGCCCCCCTCTCCTTCTGATTCTCTAGGCATGTTTTAGCCCAATGATTCAGAGCGGAAAATGTCTTTATATCAATTCCATATGGAACAAAAGAATTTCATATTTATGGTTTTTTGATAACTGATCCACTATGAAAAGAACCTGGAACCAAAATTATTATTATTATTATTTTGCATCTCAAAATCATTATATTCTTCTTACTTTACATTACTAATATCGTTATTGAGATTTCAAAGGATAACAAATGACCTTTTGTCTCTTTTTATCTGTTGTTTTAATAAGGAGGCCTGGTAGTTGGTACCATGCAATATGATTAGTTATTGTTGTTATTGAATGATAATAATAATAGGGGCATTTACATACATTAAGCGGCGGAACCAAATTATGTTTGGGGTGGGCAATTGTCTGATTTGGAGTTTGTTATTTCTCTATGTAACAAGTCTTTTTCTCATTAAGAGGGGTCGGCCACGCAAATCTTTTTTCTCCATTGTGTTCTATAGTGTCATAATTTCATTTAGTTCTAATAAATCAAGATCATTCTTAATATAATAAGCCCAAGTCTTCCTAGGTCTACTTCTGCCTTTCTTTACATAAGCCGAATCTAAAACATCTACTCTCCTAGTTGGATCATCAGATGATCGACGCTTAATGTGACCAAACCATCTAAGACGACTTCTGTTAAGTAAAATTTAATATTCTTTTCTTATGTAATTTAGGCAATTTAATAATTTTGCCCCTCTTAGATATATTTTTTTGCCCAATGCTTAAAAAAAAAATGGATATTTCGTTATTTTGCCCACCCTAAAAAATAATATTGGTTCCACCCCTAAATATATACCCACCTGATTCTTATATATCTACATATCTAATGCCTTAACTTAGACATTTTTTTTACATTTATATCCTTCAAATCTTTCATATCATATCAAAAATTTCATTATTTTAACTTTTAAAAAGTGAAATATGCTTTTTTTAAGTATAGGTAACATGACATATATGTAAAAAATTGAGGTTTCGGTGTTTGATATGTAAATGCATAAGATTTGATTGTTATATATGTAAATATTCCGCAATAATAATTAGATATTGCCCCTATTCCTGAAGTTATCATCTTAGTATGCCATATAACATCTCCACAGCTTCTCATCAACTGTCTCCAGCTTCTAAGGTGACATTCAGTAGAGAAACACAACAATTGGATGATGGTGGGACAAGATGCTGCTAAAATGTCATTTTGGAATTGAGAGAGAGAGAGAGAATAAGTTGGGTTGTATTGTTGGTCCAGTTTTTGAAAATTCATTTTGTATTTTTTGTTCACCAACGGCTAGCTCTGTTTGTTTTGGCATATTTTATCTATCCCTCCCAATTCTCCCTTACAATTTTTTCTTTTTTTTTTTTAGGGATGTGCTTACAGTTCACATAGTTCTTATTTATTTACATAATCAACCCTTAAAATTTTATATTTTTATTTTTATAACAATTTAGTGCCTTAATCATTATATTTCTTACTGTTTTTTTTGTGGTATTAAATATTTCATTGATATAAATATTAAAATTTAGGTAGTAGATGTGTAAGTACATAAAATTTGGTATATATGTATATAAGTAGGCTTTAACTCTATGCACCATGAGAAAATTGTGTTTTGTTTGCCTTCTCCATGAGCAAGTGTGTGTTTGATGCTTTTATCATTTCAAGAAGGATGTTGTCATTTATGTATTTGATGGATGTTGTATGGTTTATCTAAACATATGGCTGACATTATTTGTGAAATTGAAGAGGGTTTGTTTCTTAGGCCAGCCTTAGAAGTAAAAGAAGAAAAAAATGTTGGCTTCATCATCTCATGGAGGGAGATAATTAGGGTGCTTTTGGGGCAGTGGTGGATGCGGTGCAGTTTGGACCGCACTCACTATTAGGGTGTTTGAGTAAATAAAGTTTTGGATGTTTTCTTAGAAAAAGTTGTGTTTTACAAATCTAGTGGTTAGAAAATTACGATTTGACTTTTTGAAAAAAACTTATATATATATTAGCTACTACAGCTTTTTGAACAGTTTCTTCAGCAATGACTTCACAGTTGATTCTTTAAACAGTGGAATCCTAGTGGAATACTAAGCAAAACTTCTAAAAATAGTCTATTTTATTGTGAGGTTAGATTTTCTTAGAGCCACTTAGCTAAACTAGGTAAGCTTTAAGCATACTCTAGTGAGATCTCTATATTTGTATTGTTCAAGAAAAATGTATTATTTACTTTTGATTATATTCTTTGGTATTTTAGCTATGAAAAATATATTATGTTCGTTAAACCGGACATGCGGTCGACATCATAGATTGGACTACACCATCGGAAAAATGGTGTGGAGTGATCCACGCCTTTGTCCTCATGTCCGAGCGATGGATATAACCTGTTTATTCATCAATCATAATCATGCTTATTTCAGACTCAAGATTCTCTCACATAAAATATTCACATATGCACACCAATGAAAATACCAAAATAAAACTCAGGACTGCCAAAACCCTTGATAAACCTCTTCTCAATCCACATACAATACAACTCAAGTCCTATGTATTTACATATCATAACTCTTAAATTTTAAATTTTATATATGTCACTTTAAGACGGATGAAGTAGTGATAATTGAATGGTATAAATGTAAAAAGGAAAAGTTAGATTTTAGATATGTAAATTCATAGGAATTGTGTGTTATATATGTCAAATTCATCTTCAAAACAAAAGATTTTAAGCCTATGATTGAGATCCGAGTAAACCAATTAATGTAGTAAATAGTTGGAAAACATATGATCGAAAATTGGTGCTCTAACATTTCTACATGCCAATATTGTTTGTTTGTTGGATATTCTAATTAAATATTGAGGTATAATTTATTTTAAATTAAATGTAAATAAACGTTTACTTATAAATATTTTACTAAACTAATCTAAAATCAATTCAATTAGCCGTACTTGTAACATAATCTTCATTATTTCACAACGAAATATTTTACAATACTAATGCCTCAAATATATTACCCAATGACGGCACTATTTTTTCAAAGGAAATTACATACATAACCTTTGATTAAAATAAGGTAACCTCACATACACGCCACACAATTCTTATGTATTTACATATCTAACACCTTAAGTTTGATATTTACATTTATAGCACCGTGATGTTGCAAATATATGCATGAAAAGATGCATTTCACTTTTAAAAAAATAATGAAAGCGATAAACTGATAACTTTTGATGCAGTGTTAAAAATTTGAGTGGTATTCATGTAAATATGAAAGTTTAGGTGTTCGATATGTAAATGTGTCAGAATTGTGTGGTTGGTATGAAAATACCTTACAAATAACCCATAAATATTGGTCAATCCACAGCAGAATCTGCAACAATAAAACACACTTTTGGAAATGAGACTTTACATAACTCAATTTGCAAAAGTAAAACGTTATTTTACAAAAGAAACCAAAAAATAATTAAATACATTTTAAGGGGAAAGGAAAGCTGCAAACATATAATATGAATCAATAAAAAAAAAACTTAAAATTAGTCCTTCCTAAATTGGTTGCATCACTTCTAAAAGCTCAATATTCAGTTCAAATGTCGCCCCAGGCTGCATTGTAAGAGAGACCAGTGAGGTATCAGGAAATGCCAACTCTCAAATAAGCTCTATGTTGTCAGCAAGACAAACAAGGGCAATTACTACATGCATCAATCATGATATAATGATATTTACAAAACTATAAAAAATTAAAATAGAACCTTAATCCATATGGTTTTTTTGTTTTCATCAAAATCCCCATAGTTTGATTATGGCGCACATCCACACATAAATACATGAGTTCAATAGTTCAAAAGTAAAAATAAAATGAAAAAATAAGTGTTATTTAGGCTATTAACAAAACTAATACCTAAATATCAAAATTTACAATAAAACCTCAATCCACAATTTCTGCTTTTATGAAAATCTCGATGGTTTGATCGTGACATTGATAAATACATGGGCTCAGAAGTTCAAAAAAAAGAAAAAAGAAAAAAAGATATGGGTGTTAGCTTTGAAGTTTTATAAGCTTTGTAAATACACGAGTTTTGGGCGTTATATATATATATATATATGTGTGTGTTTGTGTGTGTGTGTGTGTGTGTGTGTGAACAACTGCATGGTTTATAGTGATCAGACATTTTTAATGTAAAGTTTGTGGTGATGGTCTTTTACCGGTATTTCATTCATCCCCTTCTCACCATAACCAAGTCCGGGAGGAACAATTACAGTTCTCTACAGAAATCAAGACAGAAACATCAGAAATAATACATGAAATGACGATGCGAAAATAGACAGAATAAATCAAAGTTATCGAGATCGCGGTACTATTTTTGTATGGCATGAGTTAGATAACGATGTTATATTCAAACTCATCTTGGTTAGCAGTATAATACAATTAATAAGTAGGGGCATTTATATACATACCACATGATTCTTACGTATTTACATATCTAACAACTAAACATGCATATTTACATGCATATCCCTCAAATCTCTAACAAAACATAAAAAATACCACGATAACTATCTTTTTAGAAGTTAAACATATCTTTTCATGCATAAGTTTATAATAACAAAATATTATAATTGTAAATATCAAACTTTGGGTATTAGATATGTAAATACATAAGAATTGTGTTAAATGTAAGTAAATATTCATAATATATAATATTATTATTTGTGACCTTTTTTATTTGTTAAACACCAATTACGTCAAACAAAATGAAAAAAATTGAGGGTTGATGTTAACTTGTCAAAATTGATGAAATTATTTCAACTCAAAATTTTGTTAGCCTAAGAACATTTCTTAGAAGTCACAAACTTAACGTAATCGGATGGTGGTGAGAAGTGCATGAGAGGATATTAGAACACTAACCTCATATGTCATACTACAATTTAATCTAGTTGCGGTGAAAATTAAGGGTTCATTAGGTCTAAATCTAAAAGTAGATAAAAATTTTAATGGGAGAAAAATGATGAGAAGAAGAGAAATATTTACTTGCTTACAAAAAATTGATTGTAGCGAGCAATACATATATATAACTTGTAATGATTCATAAGATAGAAATGATACTAACGAAGGAAAAAGTAGATAACAAAAATATCTAAGAGATGAGATTTCTAGAGATCTTGGTCACATTAGATGCATTATAACATTAAGATAATGGGTTCATAATTAAACAAGATCAATTTAAATGTATTAGAATTGAAGATAACATAAATGCTACTTAGAAACCTTATTAAATAAGAATTGTAAGAAAGAAATAATTTTGGCAGCAAATCATAATGAACAAAATAAATGAAGTATATTATAGATCGACTAAAAAAATATAGCTAACTTTAAAGAAGATTAAAAAATTGAGGCTAGGTCAATGTGAGACATGTAAGGAGATTTAGAAAATTATGAGGGATATTGCAGTGATTTGATTAACAAATATTTTTGATAGAATTTTGATAATTGAAGTTATGAAAAAAGATTATAAAAGAAGCATTTGATACTGAGATTTAACAACATCATACTGATAATTAAAGAGAGAAAGATCTCAGTAGCTTCTTTTGTATCATCATATCTTTTGTAAATCTATCAAACCAAGCTCTTGGGGATTCATTCAATCCATATTAGAGCTTTTTTTAATTTGCACATCTTGTTCTTTGTGAAAACATTTTCAAATTCTAGTGATGGATTTGTATAGATCTCTTCTTCGATTTCTAAATGTACGAAAGCAATTTTCACATTAAACTGTTGCATAAACTAGCTAAAATAAGTAGCTAGAGAAATCAAAATGCCGATTATATTCATTTTTATAATTGGAGCAAAAATTTTTGATAGTCAATTCCATAGGATTGAGTGTATCATTTAACTATTAATCTTGTCTTATATTATTCTAGACTCTTCTCTTCTATATACTTTTTATAAGAAAATTTCACTTGCATTCCGCCTTTTTTTATTTTGTTATGAAAAAAATCTCTTAAATTTGATATTTATTCAAGAAATTCAATTCTTCTCTCATAAGCTCTCTCTAATTCTCATTTTAATGCCTTAAACAAAGTTTGCGGTACTGATGGAATTAGAGTTGATATTTTGTAAGAATAAGACTTAAACGTAGGGGAATATTCTGAAATGATATATATTGGGAGATGGGGTATAATGAGTGGTGATGGATTGTTCTTTATGCTTGATGACGATTCTGAGTCTTTAGCTTGTTTGAGATTCAAAGTGAGCTGTTTTTTGTGAATAGATCCAAAGGAATACAGCTTAGGATATGTTCTATTTTGTGTTGTAGCGATGTCGAGATGAAATATAGTAGTTTCATCAAAATTACCATTAAGTTTGAGATTCTCCCCATGAAGATGATTTTAAAAAAAATATTTTTCATTAAATGTGACATTCATTGAAGTAAGATTTTTTTTTTTGTGGTAGATTGATAATATATCCTTTTCTAGGTTGAGAATACCAACTGAATACACACTTAAGAGCTCTCGGATCTAATTTTCACGTGTTGTTTTTGGATATGAACATAAGCAATACACCCAAAGACTTTTGAAGGAATATTTGAAAACTGATTTGTGGGGAAAAATTCTGCCAAATAATTTAAGGGATTTTTGAGACAATCATCTTTAAGGATATTTCTCTGATTTCTTTTCAACCACTATTTTTTGGGTGGTATCATGACATTAGACTGGGTGGATGATATCGTCTTTATGAAATAATCATGATAACGTGTAATTAAAATAATCACGGGTATTATCAATCCAGAAGATTTTAATATTTATAATAAATGTGTTTATCACCATCGTAGTAAATGTAGGATAATACTGACATCAAATTTTTGTTTGATATGATATTGGAGTGTCTCCATCAATGAAGTCGACAAATCCCATAACACTAGAAAAATTGTGTCAAAACAAAAAGTGTAGAGGATTTAAATTATTGTAGGAAAACAATTTAATGATAGTTTGCGAGTCTCACAGTTAAAATTCTTAAGGTTTAAATTCAAAGACGAAAAAAATGCATTTAAAGGTTTTAAAGGGAGCATATCATAGCCTATAATGTTCTTGGATGATGTTCATATCATCAGTAGAAATGAAAGAGCATGCTAATCTATTCTGCATCTCAAGAAAATAATACCCCACCTTTCTCACTAGTTTACACAATCAACTTTTCCTTAGTGAGGTCCTAAAATATACAATAATCAATAAAAAAAAAGTGATTTTGCAGCTATGACCTTTAGCAATTTTATGGATTGATAATAGATAGCAAGATAAAGAATATGTATGCATGGCCTGACCCAACATGATGGCAAGTTAACTTCGTGGATTTATTCAGAGAGTGAATTGTACCTCTATCCAGTCAAAGACAGATGCAGGACAAATTTATTAAATTTCTGCAAGGAAAGAAGACAATCATGTAGTATGAACTAGAGTTCACTGCACTGTCAAGGAATGCTTCACAACTAATGGCTACTATAGAACATAAGTGTTGTAGATTCCTTTCAGGATTAAGTGATTCGACCAAACAGTTGTGATGCCATTGGGGATTGATAACTATTTAGTGTTAGTAGAACGGGCTAGACGAGTAGAGATTGATTTTCAAGTTATTCAAAAACGTAAGAAGACACACAAGAGAATGAGTATTGATGGAGGAGAGCATGTGGATCAATCATAATGATTCAATGTGAAGAAGCCCAAATTCAATGGTGGCACTTCTCGTAGTATCATTTTCATTTGTGCTAAATGTGAAAAATAGCACAAAAGTGGATGTTTGATGGGCTCATTCATGTTGTTGGTGTCATCAACTTAGACACATAGCTAGATATTGCCCTTCACTTGGCCATAGAATATCAAACGAATAAAAATCAATTGGAGCTCCTTCACAGAAGACTGCAGTTGGGAAGAGAATGATAGAGTCTATAGCTTCAGCTCCTAATCAAGGTCAATCAGGATAGTCAGTTAGACCTCAAGTTTATTCCCTTACCAGTAAAGAGCCAAAAGATCATGTTGGTGATGTTGATGCTGCTAAGAATTGATGAGTGTTATGTTTTACCACATGTTATAGGAGTGTCATTCTAGTGTATATCTTTCCAGATGATGTGTTGTTGTTGTTAAGTTACCTTACTTTAATTGTGATGTTATCTTGTTTCAATTGACGGGGAATGTTAGTTTGGTAATCTAATATCAGACTTCTATTTTATTGTATTCACTTTTTATCTTAATGAATGAGATATAAACTTCTCAATGAAAATTTATGGATAATTCATGTGTTTCTTGCAATGATTTGAGGCTTGGGGTAGATTAGCAAATTTCGAAGGCAATTTTTATGAGGTGGTTGTACTAATCAATTCAAAAAGTTAAAAATTTAATAAATAATAATAATAATAATAAATAAATAAATACATATATATAATAATAGAGTAAAGTGCCAAAATAGTCCCATCTATTTACATTGGGCCGTTTTAGTCTCAGACTTTATAGAAGTGCCAAAATAATCCCTAGACTCTTTAAATTATGGTTGAAATAGTCCTCATGAAGGACTATTAGAGCTCAATTTAGAATAGTCGATAAAGTCTGGGAGTAAAATGACCCAATGTAAATGGTCGATGACACTTTGCTCAATAATAATAATTGAATAAGCACATCTCTTCAGCTTATATTTTAGGGGTCGAACAATGTAACCTTTCATTTCGAACAGAACAAGAGGAGAAGGGAGAAAGACAGAAATGTGAGAAGAGAAGAAGAAAAAAAGAGAGAAGTCAGAAGGGCAACTTAAGGCTTTAACCAAGGAGGAGTTGTGTCGTGAGATAAAAGAAGGAAGAAGAATGCTCGCCAATGAGGGGGGAAGCCAATTGACACATAAGAAGGTAGAAAGATCGACAACGCATGCAACCTTGTGCTTCTCCTTGCCAGAGAGTGCGTAGGAAGAAGGCGACGATAAGGAAAGGGTCGAACTTGTTGCTTAGATGATCCCGCACAAGGAGATAAAGAGAAAAAGAGTCAAGATTTCTCACTCACAAGCGGCTTGGCTGTGTTAAATGTTACCTGCGGTCAAAGGAGTAAGCATCGAGGGACTGTGTTGGATAAATCGAGCCAAACTGAAGGAGGAGGCGATATCAAGTGTGAGCAAGAGAGGAAGAAGCTCTCGCGCCCTAGTGTGCGAGGAGGAAGAACTCAAGCCTTAGCAGCGGAAGATAAGACTTGTGTGTTCGGGTAGGAGCTGGACCTCACATGCAAAACAAGAGGAGGAAGAAGAGGTCTGACATGCATGTAAGGGCTTTTGGTCTAGATATTAAAGGTGAATTTTAATTTTGCTTAATAAAGTTACCCAATAATATCTACACACACAGATATATATATATATATTATATATACATATTTTAAATGTTAAATTTAAGTGCATTTGAAATCAAGATTGACGCTATTAAGTATCAAATTTAGAGGAAACTAGAGATCAATATTTGCGAAAATAATTAAGATAAGTAAGCTAAATGTTAGGGTTTATTTATTTTAATTAGTGAATTTATATACTCAAATTTATGTATTAAATTATTAAAAATATATTTAATTGAACAAGATTTAAGCTGTAGAAGTTTAGTTTGGAGTAAAAAGAAGAAAGTTGTAACATTAAAAGTGAGTACTCCTGCTCTTATGTTATAGTAATAATTTGTTTCTTCTTGACCAAATATATTTATTGTTATTGTTACTAGTTATATTTATCTCACAGCATATTCACGATTTATGTTCTCATTGAATTTTTATTCAAATTGTAGGAATGAGATGCATACTCAACATTATTTAAAATATCATAGATATTAAATCTTAATACTAGTATATTACTGGTATGCAAATGAGAATTAAATAATCTTGATTAGATGGTGGTTTTCATAATATGTTTGTATGTGCATCTTTGGCTATGATAGAGTTCGCCCCTTTAAAGTATTAGCGAGGGGAATGATAAATTATATGTGCATGTAAATGAAAAATGTTTATGACATTAATGTGCCTTAATTGATATAATTTTAAAAGACGCTCTTATGACAACTGATATATACATGCTATTAATATGACAAAATGCATTGAATCTTATAAATTATTGTGAAAAATCATATCTAAAAAAGTAAATTGTCTACTGCTTTCATATAGATTTATAGTGCATATGACTAGCATGTACATCGTTTTTTTATTATTATTGTAGTTTAGAATTATGTGTATTCATTAGCTTTCTATAGCTTACAATTGTTTTAAACTATCTGTCAGGACCTGAACTGAGGTTTAGAATTAACTAAGACGAGAACTGACAAACGGTGAAAATTAAATTTTATATATTCATTCTCTATAAAAAACATTAATCAATTTAAATTAAAGTAATATATTAAAATTACCTCATTACTGATTGTCCACGTCTTCTATAAATATTTTCTCTTCTATCGCTCATCTTTTAAATTTAGTGAATGATTATATTAGATGAAACATAGAGCTACTATTGAATATGACATAATTTAAATAAGGGGCATTTACATACATACGACCCAATTCAAATTCCTATGCATTTACATATCTAACACCTAAACTTTACTTTTTACATTTATACCACCTAAATATTTCATATCACATTAAAAATACCACCACCTTGACTTGTAAAAAGTGAAATAGACATTTGCATGTGTATATATGATGGCATATATATCCGTAAAAATTGAAGTATAGATGTTAGATATGTAAATACATAGTAATTCAGTGGTATGTATGTAAATCTTCCTTTGAACTAAAATAAATGAGTTGGGCATGTACAAATAATAATAGAAACTGTGTCACTTAATTAACTAGATAAAATTAATATTGAAGGATTAGAAAAGTGAAGGGATGAACTATAATAATTTGGATTCTCAACAATCCATATATTATCTGTTCTAATTTAATTGCCTCGTGATTTTGTCCTCTTAATATCTTTTATTGAGAGGTTGTCCGTCCCAACAATGCCCCATCATAAGAATACATAACTATGCTGTTTTTAATGACACTCCACATGTCACACTTAAAGGAGCCCTGATGTTTGAGAATCTGATTTCAACTTTATATGGGGGATTCTACAAAAACAAAGTTGTGATGATAAAACAGTTATAAATAATATGGTTAATATCTTATATCTTAATCAATATTCAACATGAATGAATGAAGATTTCAGACTTAGTCCAAATACTTGGGATGGGGCTAAAAAATAATGACAATGGCAGAAAACAATGGTAAAAAAGATATTTTTTTATTATCATTATTTTAGCCACTAAATAGTTTAGCATCTCAATAGTGAAAAATTTAATCGACATTTAGATGTTATCAATATAAAAGTTAAATAACATTTACCTCATTTTAATACACAAATATCACCCAATCTAATCGACAAAACTTGTTAATAATATGATATTTTGTAGCAGATGACATTGAATCAATAAATCCCTTATAATAACTTTAAGACCACAACAATCCTACAAATTAGCAAACATACAAAACACAAAGGCTCCCACAAACTGAAAAATTTGGGAAAAATAGATTCATAATGTCTAACCCCTAGCTTTGCATGACTTTTTTCACACATTGACATAGGATTATGATATCATAGATAATATATAAAAAATAACATTGAAGAAAATTGATATAAACATACCTTTCCCCCAACTCTCATCCCTTTAGTTATTGTATACATAGCCGGTGGAGGTTTCGGTGCAGCCTGAGTTGAATAGAGCCCATTGGCATTATCAATAAATTCACGCTTTCTTTCTTTTCCTGGCGGAGAACCAACCTTAAACTCGTAAGGCTAGTCAAAGAAAGTATTGATTAATAGTCTAAAATTTAAGGTAGAGAGGAAAAGAAAATGACGTTTCTAATAGCAGAAAAAAAGTAGGCAGAAAATTAAATATCAGAATCAGTGCACAAATTTTGGTTGGCATTCAATTGCAATTCCCAACCTTTTTATTTAGGAAAGAACATTTTGTATTTACCAATTAGTGAGTTACAATTACTTGCATTCCTCTTGAATAATAGTCAAGGTTTCACATAACCAGAGATGTAACATTTAAATTTTAAAAATATTACATTATTACATATTCAGGCTCCATTTGAGCAGGTCATTGTCATTAAAAGCTATTGCCAAATTATTTAAAAAAATTTATTTTTAATTCCGTTAATCAGCATCATAAAATGTTTCCCTTCTAACATAATAATTTGTTTAACAACTACCACAACTTAATGAATTTGGTTATAAAAAACTATTTCATCACAGTAATTTTGAAGAAGCAACAAGAAATCTGCAGCCAAACACAATCATAAATATTGTGTGAAAAGCAAAATTGTAAGAAATTTGACCACAGACAAACTCTTAATAGAGCATTCCAAATTAAAATTTGATTATGAATAGTCTTTCCGAAGAGTAGGAGGCAGATTTTTGAAGCCCGTACCCAACAAATGTAGGATATGACGAGGGATTATCATACATAGCCTTATCATTTATTAAAAAAAATTGTTTCCATAATTTGAACTTAGAATCTCTTTAATGCAATCTTTTTAATGCATAAAAGACAACTTACTACTACCCCGTTCCTGCCTTATACTCGAGAAATATTAACACCGAATATTGACTCTTGTCTTAAGAATGCTTCAAGCATTTGAAGAAATCTAGCATCAGAATAAGCTTCTTTGAGCAAGATTGCAAATGGTCCCAAAATTTTGGAAAAAGAGTCAAGTACAAACATAAATATCAAGAAAAGTAACAAAATTACAATAAAACACTATTCCTAAAAATATATCAAGGAATACTTAAAATAAATGAAGGCCCGCGTGTTTTCCTAGAGCCATATTTCTTGGCACTTCAAGAAATAACTTTCGATAATAATATTGCACAGAGATTCAAAATTAAACCCTTCCATTTTTATATGACCACTCCGTATTTTCCGACAAGTTTCCTGATAATCAAAATATGGACGGTTAGCTTCAAATATTTGGTAACATTTCAGTTCTGATAAGATCTTACATGTCGTGGACTGAGTATTATGGAGTAATTACTTGTCATATAAAAATAAGCAGAAAAAAAGTAATGTCCATATAGTCGATAAGCCAATCCAAATAAGTTTTGCAAACCTGTGCGATAATACGGTTTCCAGCTAGAAGTTTAGATTCTCGACTGGACACAACTGTGATGCCACGGTAGACACAGTCAAAATGCACCTGTAATGAATACAAAATTCATCCGGATCTAGCAAACGTCCTAGAAAAATATAAACAAAGCGCGGTAAGAGAAGCTTAAGTTCTTCGTTTTAAATTGACCTTGACCAAAGCACCCCTCTCAACAATTGGACCCTTCCCTTCAACAAGATCGTAGTACTTCAGTCCTTCAGCTGCTTTAGATTAGGATCAGAAAACTGAAGAATAGAAATTCATTATAATGCAGAAAGAATGGATGCGTAATCTCAGAAACCTGAACATGAATAGCAATTTAGATTACCTTCCTATAATCATTGAACTTCACAATCACCTGCCTAAATTATTAAAATAGGCAACTTGCAAAACTAATTTTATTTAACTATGAAATAAGAAGAGTACTAGAGATTGTTAAACAAAATAAACCATAATTAGTCCCATTGTTCAAAGATGAAAAAAATGAAAAAAAAAAATGATAGTCATATTGTAGAAAAAGAAATACCTAGGAAAGCTTGGAGTGTTACTCTTTCGAGAGGTATTTATATACCATAATATATAGAAAGAATAAAGAAAGAAATAAATAATTACCAAAATAAAAATAAAAATCATCTTTAGTCATCTATCATTTGATTATTTAGAGATTGTCAATTGATGTCAATGGAGCAATCCATAGGCTCTTGCTTTTCTTTTATCTATGACTTCGTGCGAGAGGTATTTCCTTATTAACAATGAATCTCTGGCCTTTAATTTTCCTTATCTAGCCCTTTTTTATCTGACAGCCCTTCAATGCTCTCCCTTAGATTGGATAGTAGAGATCTATCATTCCAAATTTGCTTATATTTTTTCTTCATTGCAAGGTCACTTTGGTAAATACGTCAGTAAGCTGTTTTCCTCTTGGAAGATATGGAGTGCAAATCAATTTACTTTCTTTTTTTTTTTCTTTTATAAAATGCCTATTTACTTCAATATAAGTGATGCCATCATGTTGTATAGAATTGTAAGCAATGTTAATGGCAGATTTATTGTCACGATATATCGTTATAAGTTTTTCCCAGTTGACTTTCAAATCATCGAGTATAATCTTGATCCATAGAAGCTCGAAGATTCCTTGGCCAATTGCCTTTAATTTAGAGTCAACACTAGATCTTGATACAAAAAGTTAATTTTATAAGCACCGAACATTTCTCCAAAATTTTTTCTCCTTTTCTTCTTTGTTTGTCGCTTCACCGACTTCCCGATTTGGATTACCTGAATCTTTCCTTTTCTAAGAGCAGGTTCGACTGCCTCCTCCTGATCTCCCCTTCCTCTAGCTCTCTCTGTTCCCCCAAATTTATAAGTTGTAATAGGGTGCAAAATTTTCTATTTGTTAAAATCAACTTATAATTGCCCCCATAAACAAATAATCAACCCAAGTCAATAAAACCTTCTTGAGCAACAAAATTTATAGCTATTTATAAGAATTTTTCAGTCTTCTTGGGTAGACTATAATAAATCTAGGCCCATGGCAAGCCAAGATGATGAAACCATAGAACCTTGATACAATTCATCATAATGCTCCCACCAATAAGTTGCCTCATTTTAAAATCAAATTTTTGTTACTATAAGCACATTTGGTTATCACCAACCTTAATCAAAAGTTCACTATATGAGCAGAAGTCGTATGTAATATAGGGTTGCACCTATTAGAAACTTGAAAGTTGGGATTAGGTATAAGTATTTGTAGCCCACGATAGTAGTTTTTAAGAACATGCCCAACATTGTAATGATATGAATACCATGTTATTTTTGACTTGCATCTTTAGGCTTCTTGTTGGGTGGAAACTGTAAGATCACTCTTCACAAGTCGAAGATCTTTACAATATATATATATATATATATATTTCTAAGGTCCCTTCCTCTTTTGTTCTCGTAAACAGGTCCTTGTGTTGGTAGTGCTAAATTAGTCGGGTGCTTTTTGCCCTTCACTTTTAAAACAAATATCATGCTTTTCCCCACCTTCGTTAGAGGACTTTGGAGGACTCACGAAATGGGATCTACTCAGCAAACCTTCTCATCTAGACCTAGGAAGAGTAAAACACACTTTAGTGTCCTACAAACTTGCTACTTTACTCATAAGGGTTTGAATCATTCTAATACTAAATTGCTTCAAATAAACTGCAACGAGAATGCAAGTTAAGATTCATTCACCACACAATGTAACTAGACAAAGGCTCAAACGGATGTTATTGGCTAACCACAAATTGTTCAGGCATGACTTATTGTTGACTAGTGTATGAACGAACAAATCCTCTAGCTTGGCAAGGTCTATAATTAATCATCCAATAAGATAACATAACACTCAAATGATACCCACAGCAAGATTATAATGAACAATCTTGGAAAAGGGCATTGCTCTCCCTGATTTTGCAACAAGTGGCTCGATACCAAACCAAATCTTGCTTGAGTTTCCCTAGACCATCAAATTGGTTAAGTCTAGGGGGAATGAAACCCAATAGATATTGACTACTCGAGTCCTAAATCTACATAGGCAACAACACAGCTAATTGAATGTCTCAGGGTACAAAACGAGACTGATGAAGAAGCAGGAATTAAACCCTAAATACATCAATTCAGCCAATAAAAAAGCTGAACCAAAAACCAAGATAAATAAACTTACAGGTTGCATTGTCGAGGGGAATGGCATCCTTGACCCTCCTCTCTCGTGCGTGCGAGGCCGGGGAGAACGCTGCCGAGTTAATTGGGGCTGTGCAGATCAGCAGAGCCATTCTTCTGGATATAGGCTCCTTGAGAAAAGGAGACGCCGAGGTTTTTGATGTAAGATGAGGAGGGCGATGAACGTTGTCTGGGAGAGCCATTCTGTGCAATGCGCGAGCAGAAGACATTGAGCGAGCTCACAAATTACAGTGTGAAGATTTCAGAGAAGTTGAGATGGGAGGGGCGTTTAACGGCGTATTTATATATCCCAAAAAATATCAAATTATTTCAAAAATAAAACAATTTTGTTAAAATAAATTGTTTCTTTATTTTTGATCATTTTAGTTTTTGTTTTGTAATTTATTTTGTTTTTAGTTGGTTGCTTTTTATTGTTATTCTTTTCCTTTGATGCAATAGTTTTTTGACTTTTTAGTGTTCAACATTTAAAATACAATAATTGAATGTTAATTTTATTGTTCTTTTGCAGGTTTTATTGTGCTTTGTTTCTTTGTTAGTTGATGCTTATTTCTTTTCTTTTTTATAGTGCTAGTTGGTTGTTTTGTGTTCCTTCGAGTGGTGCTTTTTTGAGTTCTTCTATTTATATTTGTTGCTAGATTGTTCTCTTTCTCTCTGTGGCTATTCTAGAGATTGATGGGTTTTTTTTGTTGTTGTTGTTGGAATTGGTTTTGGATTTTGTTATTATGTTTCAGTTGCTACTTGTTGAAAGTGCTTTGTTTTTATCTATTTCAGTGGGGTGTCAATTTGCTGATTGGAGCTTTGGTTGTTTCGGTTGGTTTTTTTTGTAAGCTTGCATTTCATTTGATCTTTAATGATTATTTTGATTGGTTATGAGTACTGATGAATTCCAGTCGTTATTAAAATTTAACCAGATTCTGAATATATTTATATCTATTCTAAAGTTTGGATGTAATTTTAATATTTTTGTAGGCAAGTTATGAGCTCAAGTTAGCTATTCTCTTACTCTTTTTTTTGGTAGTTTTACATCGTCGGTTTGATTATTCCACTAGTTTTTTATGGTATTTTTTTTAATGTCTTTTCATTCATTTTTATACTTCTTGAGTTTTGTTAGTTCATGTCTATGATTTTTTAGCTTCTCTCTTGTTTATTTAGCAGACTTGAGGATTTACAGGTTTTGATATTGATGTTGTTGGTGATTGTGCTGTTGCTAGTGTCTGTATTGTTGTTGTTGAAGTTGTTAGTGATGTTGATGTTGGCGGAGTAGACTCAGTATTTGGATTTTGATGCATTGTTGGTGATGTTGTAATTTGTTTGATTGTAGTATTTATTTTCTTTTTGCGTAAGTTTAAGAAAGAAATTATAATATATAAGTAATTATATATATATATATATATATTAGCACACAATTGTTGTATATTTACATATCTTACTCTTAAACTTTCATATTTACATACATAACTTTTTTATGTCCTAAATCTATGCATATTATAATGAATTATGCTTTAAAAAGTGATACTAATGTAATTTGTTGGAAAGAGGTTCTACGAGATTTTGAATAAGGTTCACGTAAGAATTGAGAAGTCAATTCTTTGGTTGAATAACTAGTTCTATACTTCTATTTGATCATCATTAATATGATAGTTGGAATAACTACAACATACTCCATTTAACACAAGTAATATATCAAAATGTTCATCACTTCAAGATTGTTCAATTAGAGTGTTTGATCGCCTCCATTTAATATCTAATCATCATTATGTCTGATTATCATTCTTTTAATATTCGATCATTATTTGCTTAATTTAATCACTCTTCTTTCACATGACCTTGCATTCTTTTCTTGAGGTCAGTTTTTGTACCTTTGCCTTGTTCTGAATGTTGTGAAATCTATACCAACCAGTTGTGGTATATAACAAATAAAACAGGAAAATGATCGACGAAGCGAAAAATAGAATGAGAAAATTCACACCACAAAACAGTAAGACACAGCGGAACACACAGATTTACGTGGTTCGGCAAATTGCCTACGTCCACGGAGCTGCAGAGGATTTTACTACTTGAGGAATTTGCACCAGTCGATCACCTCGACTTACAAGAGGAGTCTCTCTCTTCGTTGTTCTCTCTTCTTCTCTCTCTTCACCGAGATACGCCGAAGAAACTGTATACCGAGATACACCGAAGAAGAAACACGTACAAAAGAAATAAACTTAATTTCTCTTCTGTCACAAGCCACCACGAAAAGGCCTAGGGAGAACAATCTTCCTTCTTCTTCCTTCTTCTTCCTTCTGCCGCAAGGAACTGCTCCTCGTTGCACTTCTCTTCCACTGTCCCGTGGAAACCTTCCTCTATCCCGAGGAAATCGAAAAATAACTCAAATTGTGACTTCTAAACCCAATGAGAGCCATCCGAAGCTTTTACACGAAGAGGAGGGAGCGAAGGGATGCTTCGCTTCGCGACAGAGGAAGGCGGGAGCGATTCACGTAACCATAAGGTCGCAACCGCGACCTTTCGCAAAAGGGAGCAAGAGCGGGGTTGACTTAAATAGTCCCGATGTAGAATTATTAGAGCTCAATTTTAAAATAATCGAGGATTATTTTGGTCATTTTATAAAGTTTAGGACTAAACAGTCAAATTTAAATAGTTGGGAGCAATATTGACACTTTGATCTTGTTTGAACCAAGAGCCAAATACGTATCAATTTCAAACAGATGAAAATAAACAAAGAATAAAGGTGAAGAAGTCACCAAAATTATTCAAGTTCTTTACTAACTAATTAGTATATCAAAATAAAACTAATAATATATAATTTAATAACATATGACAATTTTGTGTTGAACTACATATTATTGGTTAGGAATATCAACATAAAGATGTAATCAACTCCGATGTATAGGCGACCCACAACTATTATTTAATATAAAAAATAGAGATAATTGTTATATATTATTAAAATCATCCAAAGTTTTATGTTTGTATAATTATTAAATGTTTTTATAAATACATATCAAATAGAATAACTATCAAATATCTGTCTTTTTTGCTGGTGTTGTCATCAAATGGGCGCGTAGTCAATGGAAGAAAAACTTGCAAGTTAAGGTTTTATTATGAATTTTGACATTTAATAGGAAGTTTAATGAACATAGATCGAGTGATTATTTCAATATAAATATATATTGTTATAGTGTTGAATTTTTTTGAGATGTGGGGTCTTATAATATTTGTTAGTGTATACAAGTTGGTAAAGACCATTTATCATAGAGAGAAAATTATGGAGAGAGAGAGAGAGATATGTGAGTTCTTAGAGTAATCCTCAAAGAAAGTTTTGGGTAATTATCTCTGGTGTTTCAAAAAAGTCTGGTTTGTCTGAGGTTCCCTGAGCAACAAGATGAGAGAGAGAGAGAGAGAGAGAGAGAGAAAGGGGCACTGATTCTCCATGGGAAAAAGACCTACTTTGATCTCTATTTCGCTTCCCTTTTATACTTTTTACTGTATGATACACTTCTCCAGTGTTTTGATGAAAAGACTGTGATGTGGGTGTCAAGCAATGATGGTGTGATGTCTATCTTTCGTTTTTGGGTGAAAAGACCAAGTTCAAAAAAGTTGGGCGAAACTTTTAATAATGGATTGACAAAGTCTTTACTAGTCATGCTGATCTTCTCTGATAGTTGCCCTTGCTCAAGAATATTGGACAGTCCTTTCGAGAGGAGTAAATACAGCTTCAGCAAAAAAGTTCGATTAAGCTACTTCAATAGGTGGGCTCAATCCAGAGAAATAAATAAAATAATATTATATACCCATATTTGTGTGTGTAGAGGCCCAAAAATCCAAAAATGACAACATAAATTCGAACATAGCTTTCTCTCTAAAGTAATTAAAAACAAATAAACTCACAATAAATTACCTCTTGAAACTCCGCATGCTTTGACTTAATCAGCTATCTAAACAACAAAAATATATTTTCCCAAAGTTCTTGCATGAGAGATTTTAATATTTTTTTTTGAAAAATTTATATACATACCACACCATTTTTATGTGTTCACATATCTAAAGCCTAAGGAAGATTAGGGTTTCCAGAAAGCTTTATTTGGGTCGGGAGGAGTTGGCGTTAAACTGTCGGGCTTTATTTTGAGGTATGGATGAGTGGTTCAAACTAATTTTGGGGGGAATCGAGATTAACCATTAGTTTTTTATGGTTCTTTTAATCTCTATTGTTATGGTAATTCTTATCCGTGTCATTATGATTGATCGAGGTAGTTGTCCATATGTAGATGTTCAATAATTCAATAATTTTGACTTTATATGCATAAGTAGTTGTCCATACAAAGCTTCACACCTTATGATTGTCATAATAGTAGTAGTAATTTTTTGTGTTCCTTCATAAATGTCCCATATAAATCCTATGCTCTACATTTATAAAGGTTGAACGGGTCAGAAAATACTACCCAAACTCAACACTAATATTAAAGTTTAACCTAACCTGAATGTGATTGGACAAGTGGTGTATGTATTGCCTTTAATATTATTTTTCATTACATTTTTATTTGGTTAGCTACTAAACTCGATGTAGGTTGTTTGTTTCTGACTCTATTGATATCAAATATAAATATGTGGCATATGATTTTCCCACTTCAAATGTGCATCATATGCACATAGTGATACTTGAATTATCATGGACGTTAGTGTGCACAAATAGTTATAACTTGAATACTATTAGTGGCTTTAATATTTTTTGACACACTATTCAAAATGGCTTTTTTACGTATGAATTCTTTGAAATTCATAGAAACATGACTCAACTAATAAAGTCTTAGCATCTTCAATTTGATAAGAGAAGAACCCTATCACTCATATCATCAAGAAATATGTTATTATTATCATTGCTTTTAGAATTTGAATGGAAACACTCAAATACATGACAAGGGTTGTAAACAAGCTAAGCTTGAGCGAGCTCGCTTGGCTCATGTTCAACTCATTCAAAATTGGCTCATATTTGAGATTGATTTGTTTTCAAAATTGCTTGTGATCAATGTGTTAGTGTTCGATTTTATTTTCATATTCTTGTTCGTGTTCAACTCAGTTCCAAATTGGCTTGTCTAAATTAATTAAAAAAAAAATTACATGTATGTGTTGGATTCAAACATGCACTACGTCTATGTAGTATAAGATGCAGAACTACATGACC